TATAGATTACTATGAATCCCAGCAATACATTATACAGCAATGCAGAATAATATGAAGCTACATACTGTGTTGCTCACCAGGGCTGTGCGGGCGGGAAAAAAGAGGAAGTGGAAGATGCTGACAGACGCTGTAAAAAGCCACTGCAAGGTCACCAAAAGGCTGCCATGAGGTTCCCAGTTCTGAGATCCCCAAATGACGGCATCAGGGCTTAGTATCGGGGCATTTTCACAAATGAGCACTCGTGAAAATGCCTAGTATCGGTGCGGATACTAGGCATTTTCACGAGTACTCATATTCGTTAAAATGCCCTGATACTAAGCACCGATCCCGGCACTTTACATTTTAAATACTGTTGGCTGCTGTAAGGTCCCACGCTTGCTGGGGACCTCACGGCAGCTTCTGGGGACCTCGCAGCGGCTGTTTACACCATTGGTCCGCATCTTCCACCTTCTGGTATTGGTACATCCCTAGTGAAAATGTTTCCCAAAGCGTCTAAACCCCTCTCCCTCTGACAAGCCTTGACTACTGAGGGTCTACTTGTGACATACTCTAGGTCAGTTCTCTGGCTAAAAATAGCCTGACTGCTCATCTAACATGTATGCTCACTTTTTTTCTTTTTTTGCAGGAACCTAGAAGTGCCTGAGGTAACATCTGTAAAGGCTTGTGTAGACAGACGTGGCTGTCAAACAAAGTCTTTTAGATGCAAATGCAGCACAGCTCGAGTACATGCATTTTAATGCAAAAGGCTGTGTTTGACCTGCTTTGCCTTCAATGAAAACACATCCCCCAACAGGAAATGCATATTTCAGAAAAATGCAAAGCAGGTCACAAGCAGATTAAGAGTTATCATCCGCACTGTACTATTAAGGTAAATGGTAATCTGCTGACATGCTTTTGATGTGTGTCTCAAATGCACATAAACAACAACCATGTATACAAGCCCTAACCCCCCTGTTCTGGACAATGACTGGGTCATTCAGGTAAACCTGTGACATTTCCAGAAAGTGCTGGAGCTTCTGAAGCACTTCACATCCCTATTGGCTCAAGACTATGATGGGCTACATCACTGTCCAATAGGAGTGTGGACAAGCTGCCCCACTACCAAGAAATGCTTTGCCTGTTAGAACAACTGGCGGTTCAGCCATGACAGATAAATGTTAGAGGCTACTGCAGATACACTATATTACCAAAAGTATTTGGACGCCTGGCTTTACATGCACATGAACTTTAATGGCATGCCAGTCTTAGTCCGTAGGGTTCAATATTGAGATGGACCACCCATTGCCGCTATAACAGCTTCAACTCTTCTAGGAAGGCTGTCCACAAGGTTTAGGTGTGTGTCTATGGGAATGTTTGACCATTCTTCCAGAAGCGCATTTGTGAGGTCAGGTACTGATGTTGGACGAGAAGGCCTGGCTCGCAGTCTTTGCTCTAATTCATCCCAAAGGTGTTCTATCGGGTTGAGGTCAGGACTCTGTGCAGGCCAGTCAAGTTCCTCCACTCCAAACTCGCTCATCCATGTCTTTATGGACCTTGCTTTGTGCACTGCTGCGCAGTCATATTGAAACAGGAAGGGGCCATCCCCAAACTGTTTCCACAAAGTTGGGAGCATGAAATTGTCCAAAAGGTTTTGGTATACTGATGCCTTAAGAGTTCCCTTCACTGGAAGTAAGGGGCCAAGCCCATCCCCGGAAAAACAACCCCACACCATAATCCCCCCTCCACCAAACTTTACACTTGGCACAGTGCAGTCAGGCAAGTACCGTTCTCCTGGGAACCGCCAAACCCAGACACATCCATCGGATTGCCAGAGAAGCGTGATTCGTCACTCCAGAGAACACGTCTCCACTTCTCTAGAGTCCGGTGGTGGCGTGCTTTACATTGCACTTGGTGATGTAAGGCTTGGATACAGCTGCTTGGCCATGGAAACCCATTCCATGAAGCTCTCTACGCACTGTTGTTGTGCCAATCTGAAGGCCACACAAAGTTTAGGTCTGTAGCTATTGACTCTGCAGACAGTTGGCGACTTCTGTGCACTGTGCGCTTCAGCATGCGCTGACCCGGCTCTGTCATTTTACGTGGCCTACCACTTCGTGGCTGAGTTTCTGTTGTTCCCAGTCGCTTCTTTGTTATAATACCACTAACAGTTGACCGTGGAATATTTAGCAGCTAGGAATTTCACGGAAAACCTGAAATCAAAGATTTGGAGGGGTGTCCCAATACTTTTGGTAATATAGTGTATGTGTAGGCACCTCTAGATGGCAACCCCTTATACCTAAAGTAGTTTCATATTTGTTAGTCTCTGTAAGAGATGGACAAAGAACTAGATGGATACACATTAAGAACATGTGGAGGTTTAATTCTCATGTTAAAGGGTATGGGAATGTGCAGATAAAAAGGACAGTATTTTTTAAAAGTGCATTAACATACAATCCCTTAAAGTATAATGAAACTTTTTTTTTTTTTTGCATGAATCTACTGCTAGCAAGCAGTAGATATATGCAAAAACAAAAAAAATTAAAAAAAGTTGCCAAAAAGGTTATTACTTACCTCTGTCACCGCCGCTCACTCCTGTCTAAAGATTCTCAAGCAGCATGATGGGGCGGGCGCATGCACAGTACAGATCTTCGGCGTGGAGAAGAGGAGAGACTCACTGTAAGTCGCATTACGCAGCCCTGAGCGTGCACGCCAGAGACAGACAACGTGGGACAAGTGACAGGAGTCTGCGGTTGACCAGAGCCCAGCACCAGCGCTGGAAGGATTGCTGAATACAAGTGGAAGGAAGATGATCGGATCAAGAAGCATAATTTAAGGTAAGTACTTAAAGAAGCATGGGAGGGGAAGGGAAAAATATTTGTGACTTTAATGCCACTTTAAGGTCTTTAACCATGTTAGGACAGATGATACTGAATGTGACAAATATAAAAGTAGGTGTTATCTGAATTTGGCTGTAAAACTGAAAGTACACTATAAATGTTAGCAGGCCTTCCGCTGGTTTTACTTTTGAATTTGTTTTCTGGTATTTACTGTCCTAACTACAAAAGGTATAAATGATCGTCTAAAATTTTGTTGTGATATCAGGAACCACACATTTAGGTTGGGACGGAAACCTAAGCAAAGGGGGTTCATCTTTCTTATTTAGGGAAAGATTTCACATTGGTTTTTACATTGCATTAATGATACTGACAAGGGGAAGTTTACTTACTTTGCTAACAATGAGATTTGCCTTGACAAGAAAGCTAGTAAAATATCATAGTTTCTTAACGTATCTTTGGTCTGACAGATTCCTGGTCCCTACAGATGGTAGGGGTACACTAAAAAAACAAACAAACTTTTAATTCCATGGTTGCCTGTATATCACACATGTGACGAAAAGCCTAAATATCTACCAGGACTCCCCCCCGGCCTTCGAGGTAAGATAAAACATTTGACTAAAGTATGTGTTTTATGCAGCTAACCCTTAGACAGGACGGGTAATCTGTATGAGTAAAATAACTTGTAAGTGATCCGAGTTTGTCTTAGCAGCTCAGGGTGGTCTGCAAACTGGGGTCAGAGGACATTTAAACAAAGTGGCAGTTGCAGCAGGCAGTTTTTTTCACCCTTATATGGGTCAAATGGACCTTGCAAGAGTAAAATGTTTGGTTCATTTCTTAAACCAATATTGAGGACATTTTCACCAGACTCCACTTGAGACCCCGCACAGCCTTTCTGAGACACCGCACAGCCCACCTAGGAGCCCGCACAGCCCACCCGAGACCCTGGAGACATCAGGCTGCCACACCAGAGCAACACAGAGTATGTAGCTTTATATTATTCTGCATTGCTTTATAATGATCTGTAGTCCTCTATAGCTGGTGCCATTCTATATTGCTGAGATTTGTAGTCCTCTATAGCTGGTGCCATTTCTGTATAATGTATTGCTGGGATTTGTAGTCCTCTATAGTTGATGGTATTTTGCATTGCTGTAAAATGTATTGCTGGGATTTGTAGTACCTCTATAGCTGGTGGTATACTGCATTTCTATATAATGTATTGCTGGGATTTGTAGTACCCCTACAGCTTGGAGTCAGAACTACCAGGGTCGCAGCTGCGACCTCGCCTTGGCACTCCACCAATGTTCTAAAATCATGAGTCTGTATTGCTTTAGAAAAACTGTCACATGACACTAAAAAAAAAAAAAAAAAGGTATTGGTAATTGGTATCAGCGAGTACTTGAGGAAAAAGTATCGGCACTCGTGCTCGGTCTGGAAAAAATGGTATTGGTGCATCCCTAACTTTTATACGTTGCTTTTGACAAGGAAACACAAATTAAAGAGACAACAACTTAATGTCATAGGCTTTTTAATAGCCAACAACAGTGTATTAATTAAAAAAAAAAAAAGATGTACATGTATTATATACAAGATAGGAACATATTTTTTTCAGTAGTTTGGGTAAAAGAATCTGTCTGAATGATATCTATAGACCTTACATAAAACACATTTAGGCTTGTGTTTGTTCACACAGTAATTCATTTCCTTATTACATTTAAAATACATTTTAGATGACAGAATCGGGGAATTTATTTTTGCAAAACACATTAATTTTAGCAACATGAAGTAATTCAGTAACTGATTTGTAAATTTGCCTTTCCCTTTAACTGACATTAAACAGGAATAGATTTGTCTTTGTATTGGAGTATCAAGTTACCAATATAAATTTTAAATGTCAAATTGAAAATATTGCCACACCTTTTTTGATGTTAAAATATTTTTATATATCTATCTGTATATAAAAACGTCTGAATGGTTTATTTGCAATGTGATGGTGGTAATGACAATATATGCATTATCCAATTACAAGGAAGTGCATTCTGTATAAAAGGACCAAATGTGTGCCATGCCAGTTAAAACATGCTTGGAGAACCAACCCCCCCCCCCCCTCTCCCCCCAACAAAAAACAAAAATCCAACATTTTTTTTTTTTTGAGAATGACGCAAAGTACCCTAATAAATGTGTGAATCATTCAAGTTAAGTTCAGGTATCGTTTATGTATTTCCTTGTTGATTTATCATCATAAATGCTGAATATGAAAGTCAGACATTAGAATGCTGGCAACTTAGCTTGCTGCATTATGTTAGTTGTATGGAATGCAAGTTTAAATATGATATACATTCGGTCACAGCTTCTGCATATCAAGGTTTTCATTTTAATGAATGCAATGTAGTCTCTGCATAATTAGCAGTCATTGCTAACATACATAACAAGTCTGAAATTCGTCATCTATTTAAGAAAAAAAACAAAAACAAAACACCCATACACTTACAGTATTGTGGAATTATCTGCATTGTATATAAGAACTGATGCTGGAGATAAGACCAAGCAAAGAGGGAACACATTTCAGGATTTTGGCAAGGTAGACTATATATAGTTTGGAAAAGTTCACCGTAGCATTATAAATACTCATTGATCGTTTTCCTGGTTCCTTATTTGCACACTGTATGTTCCAAATAAGAAATATCACAGACACCATACGAATGAAATCTAGTTTATATGTGGCTTTCGTTTTGGTTTCTCTTCATAGGTTTCACCATATTCATTCACTCTAGTCTTATCCACAGGATAAAGCCTGATAAGAGAAAAATAAATAGTAAATTGAACTAGAAAAAGGGATTTCAAATATCGTACTGTCTAAAATAAATGTTAGAGCTGTATTTCCCTGGCTTATGAATAAGTTTGGCTAGTACACTGCTCTATGCTACAAGGGTTAAATAGGGTACATAAGATGGGCAGGCTGCAGTGATAAAACAAAACAAAAATACCCAAACAATATAAATGATATTGCAGCTACGTATGCACCAATACTAGTATCAGTGCCGATACCGAGTATTTGGGAGAGTACTCTTACTCGTCCAAATTCTCCGATACATACCCCCGATACCGGAACTTTGCCACGAGGAAACATGGAGCCACCTCTTGATTGGCCGGGAAGCGGCTCCATGCTGAGTGGCCGGAAAGATGGCTTCCCATCCAATCAGCCTCAAGCTAGCCAAACAGCATGGAGCTGGCTTCCCGGCCAAATCAGGAAGCCTTCTGATTGGCCGGGAAGCTGGCTATATGCTAGCGGAAGTACCGGTATTCGGTATCGGCGATTCCCGAAAGAAAAATATTGGTACTCGTACTCGATACCAAAAAAACGGTATCGGTGCATCCCTAATTGCAGCGATGTAGATTTGTTAATGGCTAAAACACAGTTATAAGAAATACAGAAACAAATATAAAATTGCAACCTAAGTTAACTTTCACCCCATGAAAGCCTGTCCAGAAAAAGTAACTGTTGTTGTGCAAATGAAAAAGTCAAAAAATTAAATCAGAAACATATAATCAATTTAGACTTACCATCTTTGGTACAAATAAATTAGAAATACCACATCATCTCTAAAACATGCAAGTCGGTGAGATGTTGGCATGGTAATAATAAAGGCAAATATATCATCAATAAATGTATTAAATGCCTGTTGAAAAAAAAACAAAAGCATAAATTCTATGTAGACATTGCAGTGATTACAGTTCAGTAGCATCTGACACAAAGCACTAAATATTAGATGCCAAAAAGAGTATTTCTACTTTCACTAAAGCTCCATCCTCTATCCTGTTTTTCTAACAAACTTGAATATACTACAGAAAAAAATAGAAAGTAAACCGTTTACTGCTCCATAAAATACCAAAAACTTCTGAAAGTGCTAGATGCCTGGCTGTGTCTGGATTCTATACTTCTTACAGACCCAGAACAAGTATACATCGTGAAAGCCAGAATCCTTATCTATTCAATGAATCCAGGTCATTCGCTCAAAGAACTGAAGCCATTGTATAAGCATAATACCCCAGTAAATAATATATTCAGAAAAGGTCAGCAACGGCAGCCTACATATTGTTCTCAGAGCAAGAGCATAAAAAAAGGTCAATAACATGTCATTTGGATTCCAAAAAAAAAGAAGAAAGGAAAAATGTATTTCATTAGTTAAATGTCAATTGCATGCAAACATTTCATGAATATCTGATATTTATGTTTGTTAGTTATACATTTTATAATTTTCTGTAGACAATGGTTATAAAATTGCCAATTCAACTTCTAACCGTATAATTTTAAAGTATTAAATATGTTTACATTAAGCTAATAGCAAATAAATACAATACTGAAATAAGCATTGGATAAAAGAAGCTAGAAACAAAAACCTACTTTATATGTGAATGCCTTCCAAGGTAAATGGGCCACAGATTTCATCTGCAAAATAGTAATGATCCGTGATTGCAAAGTATAGATGCAAAAAATCACACATGCACACACACAAATATAAAATAAAAAATACCTTATAATTTACAAACAACTGGGGCAGCATAAAAAGGAATCCAAAAGCATAAACACCTGGAAAATAAATTTTAGTTAGAAATAAGATTTCAAAATGCTACAATTGAAAACATCAAACACATGTAAAAAAATATTATATAATAAATATACAAACACACACATATATATATATATATATATATATATATACATACATATACACACGTACATACATACACAAAGTGGTGGCAAAAATTGTGGACACCTTTTGAAATGTTTGTGTTTATATGTCAATTTAAAGAAAATGTCATGCTGAATTCAATACAAAAAACAGAATGCAAATATATGCAGAACTTAAAAACAGAAGGGTTCTCCTGACAGTCCCCTTTAAATTAATAGCTGTCATCAGCAGCTAAAAAGTTGCAGATGACAGCTATCAACAAAAATCTGATATTTACCGATCCCAGTGTGTGCAGAGCAAACACTGGAGTGATAAGCTGATCACTCCAATGTTTGTAAACAACTGGGGACACATACCCTGTTTCCCCGAAAATAAGACCTAGTACTATTTTTGGGAATTCTTAAAATATAAGACCTACCCCGAAAATAAGACCTAGTTGTGACCATTCCCAGGGCCGATGGTGCCAGCGGTGCCAATGAAGCCAGTGCTAGAGGAAGCGAGGCGACAGCGGAGGGTGTAGAGCCGCATAAGCCGATGCCTCCTATATAACGCCGGCTCCTGTCACTGGCGGAGTGATACCAACTGCACTCCGCCTGTGAGGAAATCGATAGTGAAAGTGCGTTTCACTCATTCTGGCCAGCGAATGGTTACCAAATTGCTTTTGGAAACGTATGGCACCCCTGATTGCCCTGATCACCCTATTCTTAACTTCGCCATTTTGGATTATTTAATATGAATTTGCGTTAACTTTGGATTGTTGTACATTAAAAAAAAAAAATAAGACCTACCCCGAAAATAAGACCTAGTGTGTTTTCTTGAGCCAAAAAAAATATAAGACAGTGTCTTATTTTTGGGGAAACACGGTAGTACTATGTTAGAGAGGAACTGCTGCACTTCTTACCGCAACCCCTATGTACAAAGGAGGGTGCTGTAATAACCATAGATGGTGCTGTGTATCTTCAGATATATAGAAAATGTTACCAGCACAACGTAGGTTTTCCATACATAGTACTATGTGTCCCTAGATGTGAATGAACAGGAAGTGCTTTACATCACAGCCTGTTCATTCATGAATTTCTGAATGGGTAGCAGCACTCACTATAGAGGCTTCTACCCATTCATAACTGGATGACAGTAAATATTTTACGATCACCAGTTTCCGAATGAATGGAAAGCCTCTGTACTGAGTGCTTTCCATTCATTTAGAACAGAGGCTACAGAAATTTCTTTTTCAAAAGAGAAATGTCAGGGGTCTGTTTAGACCCTGATATTTCACTGAAGGCCCCCCAACAGTAAAAATAAATACTAAATAAAATAAAAATATTTAAAAAACGTAAAAAAACCAAACCCCTCCCCACACACACAAATTATACACGTGCAACAGTGTGCACCATATTGTGGTATACGCCATGAACATGCGCTGCATTGTTAGAAATGCAGTGCTTGATTTGTTTTTCTTTTTAAAATAGCATTAATTTAACTGTGTGGCAGCACATGGCAAAGCGTTGTGATGCATTGTCATGCGTTGCGATATGCTGTGTTGCGATTAAATGTACACCTGTATAATTTTATCACAACACACACACACCAACACAGTGCACAAACGATTTTTAACAGAAGTTGCTTATTTACAATTTTGCGTCCCTTAATTTTGTTACCGTTTCGCAAAAAGGCGCAATTAAAAAATTACAAATATTTGTAATTTATTAACTCAATACAGTTCTTTTAGATTTATTCGGAAACTTATTTTTTTGTGAACTGATAGTGATTTTTATCAGTTTAATATTACATAGTTACATATAAATCATGTCCCCCCTTAATCTCCTTAGTTCCAGCGTGAACATATTTAAATTTAGTAACCGTGTCTCATAGCTCTGGTCCTCCATCCCTTTGATGAGTTTGGTCATATTGATGATATTGATTCGATAAACATTTACACAATTGTTGCAGGACTTACAAAATTAGTAGCACCATCTTTTACAAACGCTAGCAACACAGTGGAAAATAAAAAATAGGAAACATTGCAAAAATAGAAAAATGATGTGGCCAGCTGAGGTTTAAAATGTTCGAGGGTTTGGCAGCGAAAGGGTTAATGGTTAAAATAACTTTATTACATGCATAGCTGGACCTACAGGTGAAACTCGAATAATTAGAATATCGTGCAAAAGTAATTGCAGTAAGTGCTGCAAAAGGGGCCCAAACCAAGTACTGAGTACATATGCATGCTTGTACTTTTCAGAGGTCCGATATTGTTCTATGTACAATCCTTGTTTTATTGACTGCATGTAATAATCTACTTTTTTGAGGTTGTGGATTTGGGGTTCTTGGGGTTTTCATGAGCTGTAAGCCATAATCATCACAATTATGACAAATCACGGCTTGAATTATCTTGCTTTGCATGTAATGAGTCTATCTCATATATTAGTTTCACCTTTTAAGTTGCATTAGTGAAATAAATTAACTTTGCATGATATTCTAATTATTCGAGTTTCACCTGTATATTGGTATATGTATGCTACTTCCTTAAATAGGTATTGTAGAATGATGATGTGAAATTATTTCGGATTTCAAGTTGAATTTTAAACATATATTCCTTAGCAACTGTGATGACAGTTCAAGAACACTAACCAAACAAAAATATAATTTCATAATCCGAGTTTAGATTAAATTTTAGAGAATTATAAAGACCTGTGGGTTCACACAAATCCGGATACATTAATAATATATAGTGAGGTTGTATGAAACATTGATTAGATAAATTGTTTTGCTAGACCTAAGCAGATACAAAATGCAAAGGCAAAAAGAGAAAAAGTAAAAGCTTCATTACTAAGTTGAGAAGAAAATGCATGTAAATGGTCCACATAGAATACCAGCACAACCAGCCTCTGTCTGGACTCCCTTGGCTTTTAAACTCTGTGGGCCCTGAATTACGCTCCCATCCTACGATTGGTGCAACCTGGTTAAGTGCTGAAACAGGTGGGGAGCCTCCTCAGTGAACCAGTTAATTTAACCCGTTCCTCTTCAATCATTAGTCAACCCTTATTTATTCCAGGCCGCCAAGATTCGGCCTTTACTCCTCTGGTCCAAGCCAATAAGTTCAGGGCCTATCACTTCATCTACTCAGGAACCCGGACCTCCATTCAGAAGATCAGGCCTTTAGTGGACCCTCCTATTCCCCTTTGGAGAGCAGCCCAGCTTTTACACTTTTTATTTACCTTGCCCAAACCTGAAGACCTACAAGAGGGCTCAACCCCTTTTGAAGAGTTATGCCTAGATCCCGTCCCATTGTGCCACACGCTCTTGCACCTGTATGCTAGGCTTAACCGTTCCACTGATGAGGAAGTTCCGGGTTCACTCAGAACCTGGGAGAGGGGCTTGGGAGTGTCTCTCTCTGGGTAACCACCCTGCTGCCTGTTTACTCCATTTAAACAACCTGTCAAGACATCACTACAGGAGATAACTCTTGGTTTATTTGATCAATGCGGAAATGGGCCAGCCGACCCTACCTCGCTCTATGGTGCAGAAAGGTCCAAGAGTTGTGTACTATGGAGGATTTGACTGCGTCTCTCCACCAATCGAGAGGAAGCTTTCAGAAAGACGTGGTTTTACTGGCCCGACTTTACCCTTTCTTCTGAATATAAGTCTCTGCTGGGCCAGGATCCTGACGACCTGTAGGATGGTTGCTCTACGGCAGAGGCTGGGCGGCTGCTGGTTGTTTCACTTTCCTGATTCTACTCGTTTTTTAGATCGGTCTGTTTTTTTTTTTCTCTTCAATGCTTCACTCTCTTCCCCCTTCCTTTTAACCTACCTAGTCTCCGTGTGTCTTATTTACTTGTTTGTCAGTTAAAAAATCAGTGTTAAAAAGCCTTGGGAGTACAGGAGCAGACGGTGCAGTTTATTATGTAATAGTTTTGTCATGTGCTTTATGCTCTCTTCTAATTGCCCATTTTTTCGTGATAACATGTCAGGAATTTATGTTCTTGTTTCTGTTCATTTCTACACAACCAGAATCTTGTGATGATGACCTTGTTTTTTTACGGACAAATATCTCCTTTTGAGCTTGTTGTCTCCTTTCTGTATTTTTGTAACGGCAATTATAAATAATAATTAAAAAATGTTTAATTTTTTTAGGCATCTGGGATAAGAACACAAGTCCCAAACCAATAAAATATGTTTCAAATACAAGAAACCCCCACAACAATACTCTCCTATTCGACATGGTACAAAAGGTAAGGAAGTATTTCTAAATCAAGTGCGGGATATGCAAGAGATCAACCTCACTCTGAAATCAAGTTAAACAATCTACAGCTTTAGATTAAAAAAGTGATATAACGTGTCGGTTGGCACAGTCAGACATGCCCTTGCCATGGTTGTCAGAGGTCTAGTGGATTCACCCTCATGTCCCGCTCCCCGTTTCATACAACAATGGGAAAGGGATCTGGGTGTGGTTTTTACTCCCCAGGATGTTGAACGTATACTATATTTTGCACATAAGTCTTCCATTTCCAACAGATTTTTAGAGGCAGGGTATAAATTGCTCACTAGATGGTATAAGGTGCCGTCTCTCCTGCACAAAATGATCCCATCAACATCTAATAGGCGTTGTGCTGAATGCCCAGGTACCCTTCTTCACATATTCTGGGAGTACCCCAGAATACGATGTTTTTGGTGGCAGGTGACTGATCTAATACGCAGGATCACAGATAGCAGTCTATCATTGGGCCCAGGGGCTTGTCTTCCCACTTTAGGTCATACAAGAAATCTTTGGTGATCCACCTGGTGAATGCGGCTAGGGCATGTGTCCCTGCTCGTTGGAAACTATCCTCTCCACCAACAGTGGCCATGTGGGTGGAGGTGAATTGCCTCATGGAAGACTTAACGTCCTCCCTGCATGAAT